AGAGGATCATGCAAATCCGGCGTGGTAACGTCACGCATAACGTCACGGCCCGTTGCGTTGGTTCGACGTGTGTCGACCTCGTTGAATATTCCGCGTCTCGGTTCGACGAAACGTCGCGATGATTTCGAATCGCTCACCGTGTTAGCTTCACCTTAACGTCTTAACTACACGGTGACCGACTCAATTGTCGCTTGTAATGCGACAGCGTGACTGGGAATGGATATCAGAGCCGCGAGGAATGCACGCCCATCATTGTTGCGGTTCGCGCGAACAGGAAATAATAGGGAGTTGCGAGATACCTATATTTGTCCCGAAGCAATGTAACTGGGTTAATAGGCTACCGGTTGAAGAATTTTTAACTAGAAGAACTTCCTTCAGATTTTAACTCCCTGATAGTGGGTCACTGAGACAGTGGTGACTTAAATGTCATTCCTTTCACAGTTTCCATAGGGGATGTACGATCTATTGTAACAGCTGATTGCAATTAAAAACGAGTGAAACAATCAGCTAGATGATGAAAGTATATGATTCCCAAGAGATAATATCGAATACCGATCGTTACCCGACAGTCAACCTATCCCATCTAAACAAAACAGACAGCAGTCATAAATTACAATGCAAACTACGTAATTGATTAGAAAGCGCTTCACGTGGTTCCTGCTCGTAAGCGGAATAAAATAAAATAAGAAAAGAAAGAAAAGAACGTAGCTGCTTGATTTATAGTCGAACGCGAATTCAATTTGCCCGGTGTACAGCTCGAAAGAGACACGGTAATCGCGGACACTTTCACCGATTAAAATCTGGAATTAAACCCTGAGTGCCGGTGTCTTGGTCTTATCGCCCGACGATCCGCCACGACCGAAAATCCATCAAAAAGTTTTTCGTCGCTCGACTCTTCTCGAGTGTCGGCTTCGAAATGGAAATGGACGCGCGAGATTTACTCGTCGGACGAGGGTGTACGCCGGAGGATCGTGACCGGTAGGAAGTGGCCGCCTTCAGAAACTTCGGCTAACGTTGATCTACGTGCTGGAAAGATAATGCATAATACATTTCTGAAACGGAGAGCGGCCCTGGTGTCGAGGATACGAAGCTGGTGTACGGTGTAGTCATAAATTTGCAATAATGCAAATGCCTGGTAGGTCTTGGAGGCGCGCGAGCGCGCCCATACTCGCGCCCAGCACACGGCCTTCCACTCGGTAGCCTACTTTACGGCGCCACCGTGGTAAACCCGGTAGTCCGTCTACAATGCAACGAGATGCATGCCTCGAGGAATCCGAGAACTCGGTTCGCCCTCTAAATATTATAGTTCTCCTCGTACCGCCTCCTCCTTCGAATTACTCGCAACCTTTCCCGCTCTTACCTCGCAGCTACATAGCGCAGCTATTATTCAGCCATTAAAATGTTACCTCGTACTGGTATTTCCATGATAATCGACGTTTTATAGTGCACCGCGGAAGATGTCACAGTCCTCGTAATTTATTTCATAAAAATAGAAATCCCCTGCATTAATCCTCCCTCGATAGTCGCCAGGAACAACGGCTTTAATAATTCTTCATTTTTACGACTCGTTGACCAACCGCCTCTTAACGCGCATCTTTCAGACAATACTCAATTTGCTGCGGGAATCATAGCCGTATTCGGCGCATTTCTATTCAAGCTCACGTAAAAGATGTCCCTTTATTATAATTTCCTCTCGGCCAGGAATCGATGTTCGAAGACAGTGGTATTTACGATCCTTTCTGCGAGCGACTTTACGATCTCGAAGTTCCCTATACGAGTCACGATACGCGTCATAGGACACGCGTGGTCGCTTTTCCGCTCGATCCACTCGTACAGTCATCAACCGACGCAGACATTCCGCGCGAACCGGAGAAAGGACTTCCTCCTTTCGTCGACGTTGACCCACCACGATCGCGGTTTAATGGCAACGAGGACGCGAACGAACGAGGGAGAAACGATGGCGAAAAGTTTCATCGTGGGGTCGTCGACGAGATGAGTCACGACGAGCCGAGATTTATGCGCGTCTCTTAGAGTAAACGAATTTCCCTTACTTCTCGTTCTCCGAAGGGTGTCCTTCTCTTTCGCGAAGGGAAGGGACGAAGCCTTAATGTCAACGGAACGTCTCCCCAGGCTTCGCGGCTGAAAATCGTGGCGAAAAGCGGGACGGGAAAGGGAAAGCCCACGTTGCTACGAATTAGGAACGATAACGTCGTTTGCCTCGGTGAATCGTGGCTACTTTCGACCTGGAACGGAGGGGATCACCCGGAGGAGGCTAATTTTCCCCTTATCGAGAATAGAATTGATAGTTGATTCGCGGGGATTAAGGAACGCCGTGTTTCTAAGGGTAGCTCGCCGCCCGAAGAGGAATTCTTTCTTTCTAGGGGGAGTAAGGGAGATTCCTTCCTTCTAGAATCTAGATGGTTCTTGGGAAAGTAACGTCTGTGGAGTTATCTGGTTAGGGTGGCATTCTGTTGCCGAAGGCAATTTGTGTACGTTTATTTGACGTTTCTTGGAGAACAGAAGGAAATCTATATAGAATCTATGACTTTGAACATTTTCTTTCTATACGAATCGTTCTGAAAGGGTTGATCAAAGAGGAAAGGAGTTTACCTGATCGTATCATAAAGAAGGGCGTTAAACCGAGAACGGATCGCTGGTAATGGTGGTTGGTTCGTTCTATAGACTGTTAAAGAAAAACAGACCGCGGCCAGATGCCGCTAAATTGGCACTCGAAGTCGTCCCTGGGCGGCTGTGGAACGGAAGCAGTCGAATTGGGGACAAATTTAATTTCGCCAAGGGGAGATGGCTGTCGAACACCGTATCCGCACCTGTTTTCTTCCACCGCACGTATCCGCTGTTACTTTTCAAAGTGTTCGGAAGAATTCAGTGGAAATCGAATATCACGTGACAGGAAACTTTCACGGATGAATTGTTGAAACGAGCGAAGTGATATTGAACCTTCTAGCTATTCATTATCGAGTATATGTGAAACGAATATATGTATACACTTTCCTAAATGATATTTATGAGTTTTCGATTCTTTCATATTTTACAAGTAGAAAAATTGATGAAATCTTTTCACTTCGGTTCACGTGTCCCGGTTTCAACCCACGTTGTAAGCAGAGACCTCGCGTGCCATAGGATCGTATTAACGGCAACAAACGTTCGATTCTACGAACAGCATTTTATCTAAAATCGATCGATCGTTAGTTGATTCGAACCGTGCCCAAATTTCGACATCGTCCGATACCGATTCCGCGCGATAACCGGTGGAAGGTGAGCCAAGCGTTTCGAGGAGGATCTTCGTTAGCGGAGCGATTACTCGCGTAGGAGTATAGGTCCGTTAAATCAACGAAGGCCCAGCGTAGTTAAAATGCCGATGTTAATCGCCTGGAGGCCTCGTTAGCGGCCTTTACCTCGCGGCCTCGCCCCATCTCTCGTCTTCGACCAGCTCTCCTTCTTTTTTGCTCCAGGTGACGCGAGAATGGAAGCTCGCTTTCCGTCCTCGTACTTGTTCTCTTGGTAATGGATTTTTCGTTATCATTTGTTCGAGACTGGCTAGTTAGAATTTACCGTCCTAGCCGTATTTATGGCTCGCGAGCAATTGCCTTTGAATTTGTAATGGGGAATCGACCGGAGGAAATCAGCCTCGAGCAAACCGTGTGGAGCTTAGAGCAGCCGATAATGGCACCGGGAAACGCTTCGCTGCTCGTCTCGTCTCTTTATGAAAATTCGCATCGGTCGAAAAGCTTTATGACGCGGGATCTTCGTGACGATGACGAGTCGTGCCGTTGATGTTTCTTCGCGAGGGTTAGGCGAGGGAGGGTGGTTCGCGGAGAAGGGTGAGATGCGATGAAACGGAAGGTGACGATGAGAATCGTGATACCGAATCGTTGATCTTCGTGTTTGGAGTTGAATTTGTAAAACAGATTATCTGTAACTTATTTATTGATTCCTCATTACTACACGCTTGTTCGATCATTAATACTTTTGACACGAGCTTGTCGAAATAATCCAATAAATCGCGCGGCCCGAAATTGAATTCACTTTGAAAACCGTTGTGACTACTATTATGATTCAGTATTATTTCTTACGTCATCGGAAACTTGTCTTTTGTGTTCTCTGTTTGAATTACGTTCTCTCATTCTTCACGCTCGTCTGTGTCCGTCATTCTTCTGGCTGTTGTAATCCACGCGTTCTTATGAATGAATCGCTATTGTAATCCAGCTGAGAGATCTTGTCAGCATCTTAAGAGGCGACTGCGTTTTTACATTGTTACATTCCCCTTTCCACCTCCGACAAGAAAAACAAACGATACTACTTTTAAAAAAAAAAGTCATCTCGATTAAAAATATTAGCAGAGATAAACTTTTGCAAACACGGAACAATGTAAAAGGTAAATTGGCAACGTTACACGCGACTAGAAAAGAGATATCAGGGTGCTGCGATTGCAACTGGGACAGACGTGTCTGCTTGTTTTCGCCGGTTGTGTATTTAAGCGCGAACGGGGTCAATAAAATATCGGGCAAACCTGCTTATACATATGGGCCGTTGGTTCGCAGTCGATAGAATAACAGAAACGCGTGTTTGCTTTCGCAACAAAACTTGCCCGCTCCCGGAGGCCGTGATTTTCCTTGTAATCCGCGAGCGAACGCAATTGCGAGCCTGTTGGAATGTTCCCTCGGTGACGATCCGATGTAGCTGCCGATCGGACAACATTTCCCGGGATTCCACCCTCCTCCACCCCTGCGCGTTCTGACTCGATCAACAACACCGTATAAAACGGATCGCTCTCAAATTGCTCGAAACGAACGTACGAGCAAGCGAAAAAAAAAAAAAGAAATTAAATGGCACACCCTTTCGATGTTCGCGATCGATACGTAACGAACTAGAACTTGCTTCACGTTTATCTAATTAAAATCAGTTGTGTAGTTATATTCTCAAACAAAACGATTTTGTTTCTTTATTTAATATTCAATCTGTTTTATCTGTTTTTCTAGAAAATTGCTGTTAACAGGAATGGAAAGTCGACTTGGTTCTTGCAGATTCGAAACGTAAGTAATAAACAACGTTACATATTAACCCTTTGGGGACGGAGCATTTTTGTATAAGCTTGCACAGACTACTATTAAATTAAATTAAAGGAAGTAATAATTCCATCCTTCAGAGCACGTATTATAAATCCTTACTGTCTATATTTATAGCTGTGTTTTGTATTAAGAAGAATATACCACAGTATGTTTGGAATTATAAATTGTTATATTTGGACACACAAATGCATCGATCGTCCTCAAAGGGTTAAATATCACTGCTCGGATGCACCCCTTAACCTCACATCCCGCATGTAGCTTCAATTCCCACCTTTATTTGTCTCAGTATCGCCGCAACAATATATCCAATCTGTAACAAAATAATCCATTACATAACCCCCGATCAATCTTAACAAAACGCAGAAACGTTGTCTGGCGATCGTCCCTCGGAATCTCTGGTTCTCGCCCTCGTTTTCCTCCCTCCTCATCGGTAACAATAATCGCAGGAACGCAGCCATGTCCCCTCCGGAAAAATACCTCGCCTCCGCTAAATCCATTATTTCACCGACAATCTATCTCGACGACAAACCAACCCACATAGAAGGAGCAAAAAATTATCTAACACCACACTTTTTTTTACCTTCCGCTTTTTCTCACACGCGTTCATCCAGCAATATTAATTAATTCACGAATCGATTAGTCGTTATGGCGGATCCGCGGAGGGGTACGCGAGGCGTACGTACGCACACGCTCGCCTATTAAGCGACATTAGAGCGATGGTAAACCGGTTCTTATGGTGGCGAAGGCAGCTTTGTTTACGGGGCCCAGCAAGCCCGTTTGTCATGGCGCTACCGCGCTTGAATTTATATAAATGGGACCGTGTACCCGCTTCTTCGGGTTCGTTTCAACTTCAGCCGGTTCGCCACGGGTGCTTTAATCAAGGATAACAACTGTAACGGCGTAATCAGCGACGATCGAGAGAAACGAAGAGGGGTGAAGATGGGGTGCCAGGGGCTGAGAGGTACGACTATTAATATCCATTTGGAAGTCAGCTTTTCCGAGCCGTTCTATCTCTCCGTCTCGCTCGAATTTTCAGGAGACGTTACATACTGCTTGCGTCTCTGTCGAAAGCTCGTTAGACACCCTGCTCGCGTCTCTGTTACCCTTTAGCAAGCGGTTAAATCGAACGAGGGGACAGGGTGGAGCGAAGGGTGACTCGCGGACCGGCGAGAAGGTCCGATACGCGCCCCGTCGAAAAAGGGTAGCCGCGCGCGAATCGATCCGAAAATACCAAACCGGAAATTGCCGAGCCGACTGCGTTTCCATTGGATTCAACGATCGCCAACGCTTTTCCCAAATTTTTCACGGAGAATCGTACCTACAGCGTCGATAGTGCTAGACGAAATTCACTCGTCCCTATCGTGGCTGAAATGTTCGAACCTCTAATGAGATACAAGTGCAAAGATTGCATCCGGTGACAGTTTGAGTGGAATTTCGAAAGCGACTGCCAAGTGGCGGGCTGTTGACCCAGACGTCGACGAGAAATAGTCGGACCGAGTCAAAATTAGAGGATTCCGGTGACGTAACCTCCGTGACACGCCTTATATTTAGAAAATCGTTCAACAGTGGCAACAGATCGGATCGTTGTTGGACGAACCTGTTCATGTTTGCTGGTCGTTATGTAAAACGACAAGAGTTAAGCGTTGACACTCGGTGCACCTTTCTGACAAGAATTATTACCTCGCGCCTCGATCGTCACCTCGTGATTCCGTCAACGGTTTAAAGAATCGTTCCCAAAACATTTAGCCATGTAAGAATTTCTTTTTTTTTTATGCTCACTCGCTTAATTGCCGCTATTTCCTGGGTAGAAAAGCTTTTCGATGTTCTTCGTTTGTGATCGTTCCGTCGATGTTGCCGGTCTTCGATGAAGAATGGCCATACGGTCTTCACGCGTTGGAATTCAAGGAACGTCGGGTAAGGATGCAAGGGGTTTAGGAATTATTATGTCAAGCCATAAACTGCATCCACCCGTCCCATTTCTCAGCTTAATAACCTCTCGGATAAGATTAATTCATTAACAAGTATCCGCTAATAACGCCGCCTTGTAACCACAATTCACTCGGTCGCGCAGATGAGAAGGCAAAGCGTAGGCATCAGTTAGCGACCGATGCTTTACAACGTGGCCGTATCGTAGACTATGGGAAGCGTTCGATTCACGACCACTCTTATGACGCGTACACAATGGTATTACGCGGGGCTTGACAATCGTTCGCGAATAAAATACTTAACTGATCGATGCTACGCCTTCACCCTCGGCGAGCAACGAAGTCGCAATAATTTTTCGGTTAAAGTTCCGCCTCGCGAGGACTCGTGGCAACGAAGTTTCAGAAACTAGCCGAGATTTGCATGGCATTACACGGTACGGTAGTGTGGAATCGCGACAGCAACGGCAACGGTTTTAACGGCCGTTTTCCCGTGTGCCTACGTCCCCGCGATTTGCATAAACGGCTCGCCTCGAGAACGACGAAACTAACCGCAACCACATAAACTCGCGATTCCGTTGCGTGGCTTCTATTCGCGTTCACCGTCACCCTTTGTCTTCGTTTTCCGTTGGAAACGCTGTAAAAGCGTCGGGTCTCATCGTTCCGGGCTGCCCACGTGAAACGAATCGAGCGGACATTCGTATTTTTTCGCACGATCGAATTTTATTGACCGATCGGGAAAATTGAATGGGAACCATACGCGGAGTTGGCTGCCTACGATTCTCTTCTAGATCGTCGTTCCGCGGGAAATAAGAGACAACAGCGAAGGGAAAAGAAAGAAACGGACGGAGATGCGACAGCGGCTCGATACGCAATTACACGTAATTAAATTAATTGGGCCAGCAGACAATCAGGCCAATTACCGATACCAATCAACGATCGGGCTACCTACTGCCGTTCCGGGCTACACCCACGGGGCTTTTTTACTCGGATGACAAACCCCATTAATTACAGGACCGCGGAGCCGACCCTCGAAAATTAGCACCCTCGCTGGCCGGAGCTGCCAATTTCAGGTGGACTGGACCCTCGCCCCGCCTAAATTTACCTATCTTCCCGCGGAATCTCCTCTCGTTAAGCTCGATCCTGTCGCGTTGATTTAACTGCTTCGTACTGCTTTTTTCTTTTCACCGCCTGGTTGTTACAGTGGTTTTTCTTGCTTCAATGTGTTCATTCGATGGTGCTTTTAAACAGATAGTTATGTTGGATATGATCCTATTAACAGTCTAATTTCATAATTCATTAAGTAAAATTTGTACGAAATGATAATTTGATTGAGGTACTTCAATATTTCTCGACCCAGATTCTTCTAATTAATATCACGCTCTTTTGGGGAACGTTTCCCACCCTTCGCTCAGCATTGCAACCAGTTTCATTAGTGGTCTGAGGACCCGTCGAGCGACTACACTGTATCAGACCACTCGAGCCCATGGAATCTCGATGTAATTTGAATTTTCGCGAGTTCACTGAATTTCCACTTGCCTTGTACATCTCTGAAGGATGCCTGTTTATCGATCTCTGGACCTCACAGGTTCCGATCCTTACGATTCTTCGTGTTCATTAACTTTAAAATAACCCTTGACGGTTTTTTAATCGAATGTCTCAAGTTTTAAATCATGCATAGAGCTTCAGAGAATAATTAAATTATTTTCTCCGTCGATTTACATAATTTTATCGACTAAAATCATTAAGATCCAATGGCAAGTGCAACGATACCTTCTTCGCTGATTCTTATCTAATTCAGCTGATAAGTCGTTTAATCGATATGGAAATAGCTGCCGGCGAACACGCGAGAAACGTGCATCGATCATGCGTAATCCATTTCGCGAAGCATTCGCAGAGAGAAACACGGAATGGAGGCTTTAACGTTAATCCGTGAAAATTCATAATTGCACGTTATATGGTAACGCGGCTGTTTCGCAAGACTGTCTGCGAGCCGGCTGCGTGCTCCACGATCGGGACTGGTGATTGCCGGGTAATATCGATATCTCGCGATTAAACGATTACCGAGATTGATATCTCAATTGGCGGGTAACGATTTCTGTATTATTATGGCGACCGCTGTTTCCGCGACGGGAAATATCTGCTCGAGCAGTTGAGAAATTTCACTTGTCAATGTTCGTTGTCATCAACCTTGCTTAATTTCTCTATTTTAATTAAAATAGACTAAATTAATATTTCAGAAAAATAACATTTCTAAATAATTTTCTACCAAACGATACACACTACCAGGCATTGAAGTCTCCGATTTTTTCTTGGCAACTGATATTCAATGTTCGTCTTTCTCTTAATTCGAGACGATAATTACACCGATGAAGTTAATTATGTTGTCTCATAATAATTTTCAGTAAAATCATAATGAAAGTAAATTGTTAACATAGAGACCACAAATGTTTCCAAAAAACATCAAAAGAATGGAGATTTTTTCGTTCGGGTGACCCTTGAAACCACAAAATCGTAATCCCTATCGTTTCATCCACCCTCTACCCTTTACCCAATCCGCAAGCAGCTTCTCCTAACTAGTAAATTCCTATCGAATCGATGCGTTTAGAGACATCAAACGATATCGAGGGTTAGAACACGTTTTTAAGTTCTCGGTAATCTCGTTGAACGAACGTGGTCCAAGCTGCAGGCCGTTATTAGGAAGCGGGCGTATCTCATGAAAATCCGCACCCTCGGCGGCTCGCGAGCGGCTAACAGAAAATTATCACGACCGCGTATCGTTCCCGGAGGGCCCGAACGTTGCCCTGCACCCCGTGTCCCCCTTTTCGAAACTCACCCCTGGTCGACGTTGCGGCATTATGTACACGAGAGAGGAAGAGAGAGAGAGGAGAGCTGGCCGACGCACACGAGGGGATTCCTCGCGGTATTCGTTACTAATGGGCGTTCTATTTAGCGGCGCCCTCGGCCCTCCAGGGACGTGTCACGCGTCGCTGGCTTCTCCTGGCACAATGCTCGACGTTCGCAACACCGCTGGATGTCAAAGAGCCGGCAAAAGTCAGGGAACCTAGCTCGCTTCTCTCGACGTTTCATGTGTGTACATGCATGCATCTACCGTTTTTCTGCGACCACCGTGGGTTCACCATGAAATTTCGGTCCGTTTGTATCCTGACAACTTGACAGGGTTCAAACTGTTTTTGATGGTATGTAACGTGTATCGAAGGAAGAAGGGGTGGTCGAATTTTGTAATTAGAAAGGAAATTGTATAATTAATATTCATCCTTCTCTTTAATTAGCTAGAGATATATGTGTAGTTCTGAATGAAAATTCAATTTCGTGAACAATTTCAAAACGATCTAACTTTCTGAAGTCTAATATACGTCTCGTCCATATCTGTTAACGGGTACAACGGGGTGGTACGAACGCGCGAGATTCCATGGGGCGACAGTTTTCCGGAAGCAGGAGGGTGCACGGGTCCGATGTGCCCCTCGATCAACGTCAATCAGCCGTTAAACAATGACGCGGCGCGCAAAGAGGATTTTATTGTATTGCGGAGAGAGCAAAGTTCCAGGCACAATGCGTTCATCCCCCGCCCTCTCGGGGCTGCTAAGCCGTCAAGTCACCCTCGAATATTCTCCGTGGCGAACGTCACAGCTTGGCTCGCTTATTTCCTTCTTTTTTTCTTTTCTTCTCGCGTTTCTGTATCGCGCGATGCGCTTTTTTCGCGTTTTTGTGCTCCGCGAACAGAGAGGGGCACCCTTCAGCATCGAAGAGGAGACTCGTTAGATTTCTTTGGAAATATGTGAAACGCGGGAGAATTGGATCGGCAGACGTGGAATCCACGGGTGGAATTTTTGAAAACATTAAGTCGAATGTAATGGCAAGGGCGAGTGAAATATTAGGGGGAGGAGCAGAGTCGACGAGGGATGCGCACACGCGCGGTGGGGTTAAACGAGATGCCTGTGTTTAAAGGGGGACAACGCGTTTGTTAGAACGAAATGGATCTTGATACGGCGACGTGTCGATGCGGCTAACAAAGGAGAACCGTTGTGTAAGGGTATTAAAACGCGTTCGAGCACGACAGGCCCAGTTGTCCTTCTTCGGGCCTGCAGCCACCGATGAATTACTGTCGCAATTGGTACAAGCAGAAACGAGGATTAGGTAGAGATATATGTGCGTTTGAAAAAATGAAGCTTCGTCTGTTGTTATTAAAGAAGTTCATAAATTTCACGGGAGATCCGGGCTTGGATCAAATATACTACCAGGAAGCTCTGTTCGCATATACGAAACATATCTAGCTGGTACACTTGAATAATAAATTTAATGATTTTATAATGCGAGTCAATTTCTTTAGCAAGTCTCGTTCGAAACTGACTATTATTTCATTTTCGTTCTGAAAGTACCAGACTATCTAACAGACGAAAGTTTTTCGAAAAACTACTAATTCCCCTCGTTAACTTGTATCCCGGTCATCAACTTTCGTGGGTACGGCCATTAATCACAAGTAAACCCTAAAATTTTCTCAACAAAATCCTCGGCTTGGCCAACGTCTATCCTGGTCCGGTCTCGTTGGTTCGCTCATTACGCGCGTCCACCGAGTCCAGACGTTCACGACTCGATCGTTAAATTCCAGCCGCGGCCGCAGGATAATCACGGCGAGGCTACACGTTGCCCGCTCGCAGCCGGCTCGTTTATTTCTTGCTCTCGATCATTGCCGCTCGATGTGGCCACGCTTGAAAGAAGCCACGACAAACATTTTTATTAATCCAACCGAACCAGCCGATCAACCGGCATCCCATTACCTCTTCTGCCCTGCTCATGCATATGAATAACCGTTCGCGAAACAATGTGAGTCTGCCAGAAAAACGGGAAAAATAAGAACAGAAGAGGGAAGAAACGAGAAGGAACGAAGTAAAGCGGCGCGGAATCGTCTATCACTGCTTTTCAGGATCTTATCGGATAGCAAGGTTTAAGCATACAATATGATACCCGCCTCTCTATCCTCCCAGATATACGGTCACTTCCCTCTTTTACAGGCGAACCATTCACGAGAGAGTGACACGCGCTGCGAACGCGTAGGTATACATACAGAAAAGCATGCTCTAAAGTGAGTCACCAAATTCGCGTGGGCTCGCAGCTGGCAAGTTCGAGAACGAGTATCCGTCTTGCTCTTTATCTACTGCCTTCAGGGTCTCTGGCTGACAATGCTCGGAACACCGGATACATATGTATGTCCAAAGGGGGAGGCAGAGAGCGAGTCGCGAGCGTGTCTGGACGGAACGAAGATGGATAAGCGGGTACCTGGCTCGTCGACGGATCGTTCGATCACGAAAACCCGCTGAAATTTGAACGAAGTCTCCACCGGTTACCGTAGAGGTACTCGATCGTTAGTACGCTTATACGGGTAACGCGATCGCGCCCGTTTCCGCCTTTCGATTCGTCGTTATTGATCTCCTTCGATGCCGATCGCGTGGGCGGTTAGATCGTAACAGCTTTGATTCTCTCCGATGATGTTTCTGGGATACGGTGTTGGAATTAATGCCGTGTAAGCGGAGCGGATAGTGGATTACTACGAGCATCGGGAATTGTGATTTTGATTGAGAAAGGAATTGATACTCGTATCAAGAAACGGGTGATTCTTAAGTATCGGATACATTTGATTCTAAGATATAGAGGGTATGATATATCAGGAATAGGCGAGGTATTAAGTTTTTAAGAAGGGAAAGAAATAGCCATATTTAGAGCAAAGACGCAAATCTTTTATTTAATTTCATTACAATTGAAAACCTTCGATTCTTATACGCTTTCGTACACTTTTTCCTTCAATCTCTATTTTTCCTCTCCAAGAAGAAAAAGTTCAGCAAGGTGGACATCCATTCATAGGATCGAAAGCTATGGCGAGAACAACGTTAGAAGATTGGCTCGTTAATCATCTGTGAAAACGATTCTTCCATTCTTCGCCGCTGCTTGCTTACGCCTGCCCACGAAGGATTCGCTTGGCGCGCGATTAGGAGATTCTTTGCGGGATAGGGCCGTTTATCAAGAAAATGAGCGGAACAAGAAGGCTGACGTTCTGTTTACCCGGGTGTACGTTGTTGCGGCTACCGTGGTCAATCCTTCTCTCCCTGTCTCCTTTTATCTATCTTTCTCTGGTAATATACGAACGAACGAGAGAAGGAAATTGAAGAAACGCCGCGGGCTGCTGGTACATGCTCTTCCAGGAGGATGAAAGAGGGATGAGCCCCGACAGCAGAATCTTTTGTAGGATGACGGTAGCAAGTAGTCGTCGTGAAATCGATTTCATATACAATCCCTGTTCCGTCGGTGATGTAATAAGTCGATTGTGTAGCGTGCAACGATATCGTGACGTTCGATTCAGACACGATTGTAAATACGTGCCGATGCTTCCTTCTGTTCGAAGCACCGCTGGACGTATTAGTACGTTCCCTCGTCAAGACGCCGCGTGTGTCTCTCGAGCCACGGTTGGTAATCTTCTCTGTTCGTCGTATTTACACGTATATACTCTTGGGATTCCGAGGATTTACCGAATACGACGTTTTCCGTGTACACCCGTAAGCTTGAAGATCGCGTGAGACGTTTCCATGCCTCGGAGTTGGAGTTGCAGAGTCTGGTTCGTGATCAAGCGATCCATCAACCCGAGGCTCTGTGTTTTGAACGGAAGATGAACCCGGTGCTTGCACTTTAAATTATCAGGTGTTGCAGGAAATTGGTAGACATTAGTTCGCTTAGATACCTCGAATTATCTGCCCTTTGTTGCTTAATAGTTCAGATATAATAAATGGAAGGTAGATAAAAAGCAATAAGTTTGCTTCGTAGATTTATCAGGCATTTGGATTGCTCACAATTAGATGCGTTGAATTTTATAGTCTTTCTACTCGAACGAAGTACTATCGTTAAACATTCCTCCGCTAAAATGGATAGTCGTAGAATTGAAACATCTCGGTGTCGCAAATGAGAAACGAACGAATTCCCCCTTTACGTTATCAACATTCCTTCAGAACTTGTTCAACATTGACGCGCAATGGTCCCCTTAACGATCACGAACACTCGGGGATCTCTTTCCTCGTTCCAATATATTATATCAGGCATAATGCAAATTACCTGCGAAAACGTTTATTCGCCGTGGTACGAGTATCTCGTTCGGCTCGGCGCATTCTAATCGATCTCTCGGACGTAACGAGCCGTGAGCTTGGCTCGTTTCTTTCCTCGGCGCCGTTTACACGCGTTTCTCAGCCCCGCGTGCGCGCATACAGCTCGCGGCGACGAGCTCGAGGAGGTGTAAAATCCTGGCGACGCGAGCCGCGATGAAAGTGAACGAACATTCCAGCCAAGCCGATTCCGCCCGCTCTGTCGTAACGCATGACAAACAGTGTCGATAACCCATAATCTTCGTGCCGCGTTAACATCCTCCGCGAGAAGGAAGTTCGGAAAAACGGAGGCAAACCGCTCCGAGCGATTCGCCATGGACGATTTAGCTGCGTTATATTCATTGAACTGGAAGAAATTTTAACCTGCGAATTTGTAACATGATCTGAATTATCTGACGTGTTCGCCGATAACGATTCGATTGAAAAATTCTATGGGAAAATAATTGAATTCCATTTTCACTGGAATTTTGCTATGCTTCTTCGGTTAAAGGAGTCGGATTGAAATGTAAACGAGAATTAAGATGGTACATGAAAATGGTCGTCGGTTAGGCGAGACAGGAACGGTCGAAGGCAGACAGAATTGAAATGGTCCGTCATTCGGTATCGGCTAGGCTTTCTCGCGTTACCATGTCACGCGTGTCTACTCGAAAGCCTAGAGACAAGAAAAACCACGACAAGAACACGGAACGTGACCGGGCAACAAAAATACGCGACACCGCACCGTCGGCGAAAGAAACGGGTTGGACCAGACGTGCCCTTAATGACGATTCGACATGCCAATAAGTCGTCGGGTGTCGCGTGGATGACGCGAGATATGTCGGCCGGCTACGAACGGACACTCGCCTTCACGCCACGTTATTGTAATTTACACCCGTGTCCCTTTACCGAACAGGGAACCGCATTTTGACCGCGTTGCATCGTCAACCATCGATGATAGCCTGTATTTCAATGCTCAGGTGTTTGAATTTCAAAATCATTTTTATTGCATTTTACACTTATTACAGTTATTACTAAATAACTTGAGGTTTCTTGAGAAGCTATAAAAATTAATTCATTAAAAAATTAATTTTTGTGAAAAAAATAGTAATTTTTTAAAACGATGAAAATACATATTTTAGTGAATTAATTTTTATAGCTTCTCAAAAAACCTCAAGTTATTTAGTCCAATTTTAACCGAGATATTCTATTCTGAACAGTGGCTACTCACTTTTGCCTCTCACTGTACATATAATATAATGAAAATTTCCGTATTTTCAATTAAAGTAGCCGCTGGTGTAAATTATCAATTTCTCAGACCGTTGATTCTCTAAAAAGAAACTGTGATCTCCTTCTCGTTCTTATCGCAGACAACAAATCGACCTGGCAGGAACGAATTGAATCACCGATTCACCGGCAGAACGTCATAATTTCGAGTTGTTCTTTCGGAATGGTCACATAAAATCGCGACGAGCGTTCAGTTGAAAACGATCCAACTTTTCGTCGATTCGAAACCAGTCTGGGAGGTTGATCGAGCGGAGAGCACGAGTTTATTTTGCGGATGAAAAATCAAGGCTGGTTCGATGCTCGATGAACAGTTTCGTTTAGATCATCCGAGTCGTAGCGAGGATCTTGAATAAGAAAACGAATCGAGCATATTTTTGCGCGATGGGAAGAGATATTCGAAAGCCAGACGATACAACGGAGGCACGTAATGACGGGTATTTAGAAAATCCCATCGTCTAATGTCGCTGCCAAGGGGAATCTCTAAGGATACCTTCCCGTTCAGCGGTTCCCAATCATAGAAATGAAATATTTCACTAGAAATTATATATATTTCTAAAATTCATAGGTTCGTCTTATACACAATTGTACAAAATAACATAACGATCAGTGTGGATTCGTTGTAAAAAAGGATAACCGAATAAGGAGTGTCAGGCTGAACCAGAGGAGTTTCAAGCATGTTTAACACGAAGTCTCTGGGAAGCTCTGGTCGAAAGGGTTGTAATCAAGACACGATCGCCGGTAGACGCATATCAATGAGGATTCGGCATACCGAAGCGTCCGTGTCGCGATCATGCGAATAGTAAAAGCAGCATCGGAAGCTGATATCCCGGCGAAATGGCGGGAGAATTAACCGTTCCTTTCGAGCTATTTTTATGACACTTAGACTTTCCTTCGGCCCGGCAACATGCTGGAACACTTGAAAAACACTTGTACGCATTCCGTTACGTTTACGCAACGACGCGACGCGGCGAGACGGTCGGAGAGCCGCTCTTCACGGTGTTCCGCGAACGAAGATCAAGTGGAGACGGTTTTTAATTTTCTAGAAGGCGCGGCTTCTTCGCTCGGCACTCGTTCAGCCATCTTTCAAGACTCTTCCTGTAATAGAGTTCCATGGGATTTCTCGTGCAGGCTAACCGTCCCTGTCGTGAGAAACTGAATCCTTTTTCACGCCCTTTTCCTGTTTTTCCCGAGTTTTCGCCTACTCATCTACTCTATCAGCCATCCTTAGAAAATTACCAAAAGATTACTATAATAGTTTTTCATTACCCCTTTTGCAATTATTCTAAAATTTTTGCCTAAATTTATCGAAGTATCCTGTTAAAAGTTAGCTCGACATTCGACGCGTTAATGAACAATAAAAGTAACAAGATGGTGTCCAGTGGTAAGTGAGAAACTCTACCTCTCCGGCTGGTACTCTTGACGCTGGAATTTAAATTAAATATCGCGCTCCTGCGCGGCCAGATTCCTCGCTGGCAGAACGCTTTATGACGCCCGTTTCGCTCGTTGCCCGACATCGTTGAAGGCAAAGGTCTCATTCCCTTTGACCGTTCCATTTCCAGCCAATAAAGAGTTTACAGTCGACGCCCGTTTGCGAATCGACCGAACACCGGTAGCTGTACCTTTTGTGCAACCGAAGCTTGTACGTTCAAGCTCGTTCGATCGACAGAATTAGAATAGAAGCTTTTTTCGTTGCTCGAAGATGATGCTGTATCGTTAAGAATTTCGCGTTATCTCTCGAAACACGGGTTATCGCGTCAAGTAGCACGATGTCCGAATGTTAGACGAACGGAAAGGGTTTGAGGAGATCCATTCATTCGAACGTTGTGAAAAAAAACGAGGTCTATGCCAGAGAAATTAGTCTATTTCAACGGCAGCAACGCATAAATGTTGTGTGTCTGTTGTAAGATAGCCGAGGTTATCGGGCATGTTTCACTCGCATAGTGTTTTTGACAGTGATGGACGTTTTAAAGATTGAGTTTAAGGATTTTAGAGAGTGTTACGTAGTAATTTAAACTTTGAATTTACAATTCTCTCGGTAATTTCTTTTCTAGCTTAAAAAAAGGAATACATAAAACGAGAGAGCCATTGGCTTCATAAAATATGCAGCCATCAAAGTGTTGAGATGAAAGGACTTCTGCTATTAAAATAAGCAGGAAATCGTTGTCGTAAAATACATCGAGGCAAATGCTTTAGCAACGATGCTAAAGCTTAACGACACGTTTCATCCAGTATCGAGAGAAGGCGAAATGACAGAGCGAGGGCTGGGCAAAGCTTTCAGAAGCGCAAAAGCTCGTGTACACTTGACTGGTATCGACGTTTCGGAATTGCTACGCTCGACGTACATTGTCGCGCGTTTCTCGTCCACGGCGCGCTATGCAGCCCCGAAGAGTCCAGGAATATTCCACGAGAACCGACGCATCTCTCAACCTCGTTCGAGATAAGGTGACGCGGGCGAAGAGGACAAAGCGATATCCCAACGAAAGCAGTTCGTATCCAGAGGCTTTCGCTCGGGAATTATCGATGATCCACGTGAAAAATGCGCCCGCCATAAGCCATTCGTATCCTT